AAGAAGACAAAAAACAAAAAGAAATAACAATCCATCCATTTTCTTCTGGTTATCAAGTTCAGGGTGGCAGTGGGGTTGGAGCCTGTCCCAGCTCTCCTTGGGTGAGAGGCAGGGTGCACACTTGAAGGTGAGGGCACCATTCTGCTGCAGGCCTAAAACAAACAACCATTCATGCTCATGTTCACACCAACAGCCAGGTTAGAAGGCGACGGATTTGAATCCAGGTCCTTCTTGTGCTGCACCACTTTGTAATTTCTTAGTCACACCCTTCATAAATTTTGGGAATGCCTTGCAGAGTACTGGCTCAATAACCTACCGGAAAATTCAAAACCTTAAAATCCACAAGACAAACTAAAAGATTTTCCAACAATTACATGTGCAATATTAATCAAGTGCACAACCTGGCAAATTTAAGGTTATTGTTAAAACAATGTATAAAGCACTGATATAAAAACCCATTACTTATGACCTAAGAGTGAATTATAAGTGGTGACTATGTCGTGCCAATTTGTTAGAGATGATACAACAAGAAAATTGCATGATAACAGCTGAAGAAGCAATGGAGCATATTAAAATACAGGAAGTTACAAAACTGTAGCTCAGAGATGCAAATAAGTAAAGGAAGGTAAACCATCCAGAGAACAACAGCCGGAGAACAATCAGGTGTGATAAGTATTCCACACTTACCTGCTTTAACAGGGATTCTTACAATTAAACCTTTTACAGTAGAAAACATCTGTGATGAACTGTGACAGGGAAAAAGCCCAGCAGGTCCACAGTTTTGAGGGCTTTATTTCAAATAACAGGATACTGCAAGAATAGCATCAACATAGACAGTGTTTAATGTACACACACACACACACACACACACACAACTAGACTTTTTGTGTTTCTCTGCAGTGCTTTGTGACTCTTTTGTTACTTTGTGGTGCATTCGTGTTCTTTGTGGTTTTCTGAACTACTTTTCTTGCTCATGTGTTTGTCTTCTCCTTCATTGGCACAGTGTGATACTGCTTCGTGATCTGTGGCTTAGTAACTAGCTTTAGTTTATCTTATGATTTCACTGACATACTGAATCTTTGTATGACAGCTGTGATCATTCTTGAGCCCCTATGTGATACTTTGCTGGTACTTATATTAGTATTTATATTTATATTTATATTTATATGTAGCAATGATGTAAAACTGTTAAAATGAAAGAAAATGTAATCAGATTTTGTTCCTCATCTTTAAGGTACGTTCAGATCTACTTATTTCAGTCAGGGTGATGGAGCTCAGCCCACAGAGAGACAAACGCAGCACATGTGAGGGAAATAGATGAACTGTACAGATACTATGAACTGATTTCCCTACTCAGCAGAGGCGGAGAAACAGAGGGCCAAATACAGAGAGAAAGCACAAGAGAAGGAGAGACACTCAGGAAGTTAAACAGGGGAAGTTTAGTGGTTTGTTGCGTCATCGTTTTATGCTGCTACTTGTGTGCCGATGCAGAGTGAAGGTAGGAACACTTGTGTTCGCTTTTTAATTTGTTTGTTTCCTCACATTTAAAGTCTTTCCAAAAACGTGGACCGATTGGGAGGGGTGGTGGATGATAGGAGAGCAGCGGCAGGTGTCAGGAAGATGGAGAGAGTGGGGAGAGAGTTTGAACGTCTCTGTGAATCTATATGTTCAGTGCTCGACTTCCGCTGAAATGAGAACAGGGCCGCGATGGCCCTGACATGAGGGCAGGGAGGACAGACCGGGCTCTGTAGTGAGCGTAGTCCTCAGGCAGGAGCGGAGATTAGAAGCTTAAGTTGGTCCACCACCTCAGAGGAACCTTATAGCATGATTGGAGCGAAACGTTCAGGGGCTCTTTTCAGTGAATACGAGAAGTACAGACGCAAGGGTGTGGCCTTTCATTCGAAAATAAATTGAGTGCATCAGGGGGAAGTGAAGAGCCACATATGCAAGGCGAGCGTTCAGTGCAGTTTGTTTGATTTCGGCTGTGAGATTGTTCATTGTTAAAACGTGAAACTGCTATATCCACAACGAAACCGTTATCATTTCTGCTTTTGCAGGGAGGAAGACACAACAAAGTATGTCCTAACGCTCGATTTTACGTGACAGCCCCAATGCAGCGCAGCTCACAGAGGAAACAACCTGCACCTAACAACATGCACTGAGGCAAAGGAAACAGAAGCAACAGCAGCACAGTCAAACCTCTGAAATGTGCAACGTTTTATCAGAGTCATCGTCACTTTAACCATTTTGGTCAACGCATCCAGAACAGACAGTTAGTGAACCTGACCGTCACCAGCAGGGCAGAGGGGACCAGTCTGAATGTGAGGTGAAAAGAGAAGACAGGAAGAGATGAGGAGAGTTCGAAGAAAAGGGGGCAACAAAGAGAAGGTGTTTGGATGTGATCTGTTGGAGCATCTAAATACCTCTGGTCAAGAGGGTAAGTGAGCAACCCTGACTAGAAAACAAGTCCTGCTCTTATTGTTGTTTTCTGCACTTGTCATAGTTTTCTTCATTGCATTAAACACCATCCTGCAGAGATAAATCATTTACACATGGGTGTCAAACATCAGCAGAAATACCGTTTATACCATGTAGATAAAACATGTCATAGAAGTGTTACTAAAATGAACATTTAAAAGTACAAATTTAATTCACTGACAGGTTCGCTTTAAGCAACCTGCTATTAAGCACATTTCATGGGATATTTCTCATGTTTCTTAACTCTTTAGCATCTCACTCTGCAGTAAAGTGCTTGCCTATGCTTTTTTTTAAAAAACATAGGCAAGTCGTGAAGGCCAACATTCAGATTATGACTTTGCTTGTCAAACCACACCAGGCTGAGTCAAACATTTGAAAAAGTCTTAATCATTTTATAATGCGACCACGACTGACTCATTGTGGACAAAGCGTGGGACATCGCAGGGCAAATTACTTTGGGGGTAAGTAAAAAAAAAAAAAAGGTAAAGACTTTTGGGAAAGTATTCTGGCACTGATGAGACAAAGGTTGACTTTTTTAGAGGAACATCAGACCAGCAGTCATAAGTGGGCATAGTGTGATGGTCTGGGGCTGCTTTGCTGCTTCAGCACGACTTTCTGTAACTGATGGAACCATCTCTTTACCAGAAATGCTCAAGGAGAACGTCTGGCCAACAGTTCATGCCCTAAAGCTCAAACAGAGTTGAGCTGAAAAGAAAGACAGTGATCCAAAACACCAGCAAGTCCACCTCTGATTGGTTTAAAAAACTCCAAAATAATAGTGTTGGAGTGTTATAGTGAAATATTCTTTAGCATGACCTTAAACTGGCCGTTCATGCTTGAAAACCCTCCAGTGTGGCTTTATTAATTCATCCTGCAAACATGAGTGAGCCAAAATTCCTCCAGAGCAAAGTGAAAAACTCATTGCAGTCGTTGTTGCCAAGGGTCACAAAGCCATTTATGAGGCTTAGGGGACAATTGAACAATGAAATTACAGTTTAAAAGCTGCATTTTGTATTTATTCAGGTTGTCTTTGTCTAATATTAGAATCTGTTAGATAATCTGAAACATATAAAATATAACTGTGACAAATATGCAACAAACTAAGAAATCAGATGGGGGCAAACACTTTTTTGTGGTACTATAACTGGAGAAACAATGATTTTTGCACTTCAGCTTCTGTTTTATTTTCTGGTATTTTAAGATTTTAGCAGGGATGCAACACATTTCTTGTCAGCAATGTTTCCACTTACATGAAATAAACAAAAAAAATATCGGACATAATGTCAATAAATGGGATGAAAGGACGAGGAAGGTATCTGCTGTGCGCCTGGCCAACTTAACCGTGACCCTTAGGACAGAAATATTCCTCTCAGGGATCCATGTAGTCTTTGGCACTTCTGTGCTTCAAGCTAAATGCCCACATGTCAACAATGACAAAGCAAACATAACTGTTTTAAGCAGACAGAATATTTGCTGTGTTCACAGTCATAGTTTGGTATGCTAATTTTTCTCACTATCAATACGCAAAGACAAAACAACAACAAAGCTGTGGCTGAAATCAGTTTCATGTTTGTATTTGTCAAATCTCAGTATTACAGAAATGTACTTAAAAATAACCTGTTCAACTACCACAACATACGTTTTATATATATAGTATAAATAGTGTGGTGACTTTGACCCTGAAATAAGTTTTTAAAAAGGTTTTTAACCTTGGAAATTATATTCATTACAGCAGTCTTTCATAGGTTTTGATCGAGGAGTCTTTGAGTCATATGTCTGATGCTCTGCATGAACCTCTAGATATCAGAGGATCATTATCAATAAGATCCGTGGACCATGAGAAACCGGGCAAATTTTCATGGTCAAAAGTCATCAGTATGCTTTAGTTATAAAATTATAGATTTGATAGACTTATTGACTGTATATGTACCGAATTTCCAGAATTTCCCTTAGGAACCAACCCGAGGGATTAATAAAGTTTCATCTAAATATTTGTATCTAAAGATGACAGATTGAACATGTTCCATGCTTTTATTAGGCCCATATCCAGGTTATTCATTTGAGTCTTCTTTCACAGTTCCACTGGTGCTGCGATGCTGCAGTGAGTTTGTGGAGCATCATGGGATTGTTGATGGGATCTACAGGTTGTCTGGAGTGTCATCCAATATACAGAAACTCAGGTAAAATGTCTGTGTGTGGTAAACCTTTACCTGTAAATAAACAATATAATCCACATATATTTTAACGGATATTCGATTATGTTATTATCATTCAAAACAGGGGTGAGTTTGAGAGTGATGGTAATCCTGAACTGAACAAGGATGTGTACCTGCAGGACATCCACTGTGTCAGCTCTTTGTGTAAAGCTTATTTCAGAGAGCTGCCCAACCCTCTGCTCACATATCAGCTGTATGACAAATTTGCTGTGAGTATCTCAGACATGCAAAAAAACAAAATAAAATCCTTGACTGGTCAACAGGCATGAAAACAGAAAATAACACGTATTCTAACAGGAAGCTGTGGCCATCCAGCTAGAGGAGGAGAGGCTAGTAAAGATCGGTGATGTCCTGAAAGAGCTACCAGCACCTCATTACAGGTACAACCCTCTGCATCCCAATGACAGCCGCTTTTACTATATAATAACCTGTATTTCTGCACTGAAGCAGAGGGCATCTCCTTTTATTTCTCTCCAGTAACTATCACAACAGATCAGCTCAATTTTATTACTTCACCAGAGATTAGTTTTAGGGCTTTTACAAAGTGCTCACTATTTGGAAAAACATTCTTTACAGGCTTTAGTAAATTCTTCTATATGTAGATTTTAGTTCACTGCCACAAGGAAACCATGTAGGAAAATATTACAAAACTGTACATTTACAGATAACAACACTGGACCCCGTGAAGCTGCTTAATTACATATAAATGGGCTGAACTGGCGGTTTTGGTCCGCCATCATCCATCTATTATCATGGGGTAGAAACATAAGCACAGATGCCGACACGCTTCTCTCCCTAACCACCTCGTCCTCCAGGGGCATGCAAGGCATTCCAAAGCCAGCCAAGAGAGCGTGCCCTGGGTCTACCCTGGGCTCTCATTACAGTTCAACATGGCTGAAATACTTCACTTAGTTGGATCACACAGTCCAAAAGTCCAGTACAGTTACCAATTAAAAAGTAAAGAACTGACCAATAACAGTATTTCCTTTAGGAAAACCACCATTAATCCCACATTTACAGATGATAATATTGATTATTACATGGTTGATGTGTAAAATAATACTGTTTCTAACAAGGCTGCAGATTTAAAAGCTGATCATGTATCATGTGTGTCCTACAGGACTCTGGAGTTTCTCATGCGTCATCTTGTCAGAATGGCCTCGTATTCGTCAGAAACCAACATGCACGCCAGGAACCTGGCCATTGTCTGGGCCCCCAACCTGCTCAGGTGTGTTAATGAAAAATCAGTGTGTCTCAGATATGTGCTCTTGTGAACTGAGGGATACACTACCTGCTTTCATTCTGAGGGAAAATACTATATATATAAACTGCTGAAAGTTACTGTAATTTCAATTTATAGTGTATGCGATTCAATAACCTTGTATCGTGTACCGCTGCCTTTGCTTACCTGTTCCTTGTTCCTTTTCTGCTTCACTTTGTTCTTCTGTTGTTTTCATCCATTCCTTCTTCTCCTTTAGCACATAGTCATGTCTTGCAGTTGTGATAATCAATCACTAAACCAATCTATCAATCTGTATGAAAAGGTCTAAAGACATTGAAGCGACAGGATTCAATGGCACTGCGGCCTTCATGGAGGTCAGGGTCCAGTCCATCGTGGTGGAGTTCATTCTCACACACGTCCCTCAGCTGTTTCCCGATGCAGGTCAGAACACAGATGTGCATCCACAGACACTCACGTGCAGAGAAAGACGATAAACTTATGTACCACTGCTTAAAATCTTTCCTCTGACCTCTTCAGACATATCAAACGAGAGAAGGAAGTCCCTCCCATCCCCATCAGCATTCCCCAACAAGGAGGAATGTTTATTCCGGCCTGTTCCCACCCCAGCTTGTAGCTATGGGAACATCAGTCCAGGAGATGGTCCACTTCCCATAAGACCTTACCATGCCATCATTGAAGGCACAGACAAGTGAGTAAACCATTTCTTTATCTGGGTCACCATTACTGTCCGTTATACACAAAATCTTAGTCGCTTACACTTTTTAGAGTATCAGGTGAAGATGAGATGAACTGAAGTCAGCAGCAAGTTAAGCTTTTCTCAGGGATAATGCAAGTGATGCTTGTATGTTAGAAAATAACATTTCTTTTCATATAAACGTCTTGCAAATGCGCGTGTCTTGCTCGCCTCAGGAGGAAAGGATCCCTTAAAGGCAGGAAGTGGATGTCCATCTTTAACATTGGAGGACGATTCCCGGATCCACGGCGAAAACACAAACCTTCAACCAAAGGTACAAAACCTTCACATAGAAATGAGTCACATCATTTATTCATACTAAGTTAATTTCTCTTTTTCCATAAACAGGTTTGCGTGTTAACAACTTTATACTCTTTGGTTTGTTTTCTAATTTCTTTTCACTTTTAGGAAATAGTAACATTTAAAATGACATTCAAACTCACATATTTTTAAATATAAATATTTAAAAATGTAAATATAATTTGTTTGTGTTTTGGCACTTTTTATTAATGTACTTTTAGAAAACTGTTGCTGCTGGCTGCTGTTTTGGACATCAGTTTTAAGTCTCCCATAGATCAGTTCCAACAGCTTCTCTCTATATATTATCTCACTTATCTTAGAAATATTTTTTATATTTTTTCAGCTCCAGAGAAAGAAAGGCCTGCTCTGAGACCTGCAAGAAGCATGGACTCCCTCAGCTCCCCATCCTATCCAAATGAAGGTATCGTCTTCTGAAACATTAAAATGATGAATTTGTTACTTAGAAAAATAATTAAATGCAGTAAAAATGTTAAGAAGTAAGTGAATTTAATATTTATTTAGATATAAACTCTTCTCTAAAGAATTTGAAATGTTGATTTAATTAGTTTGATTTGATTAAGCTGTAAGACTCTGAGGTTTGTTAAAATGTGAACTCACAGTGCTTACGTATAAGAAGAAAATGAGCAGATAAAATTTCATTTAAATGCATCCGGTGATAGTGAAAAGCTGACTGTGAACGTCTTCCACCATCACCACACAATAGAGTTGAATGGAGCTTGTTTTCTAATGTCTTGAAGAAAAAAAGCGCTTTTACATGCCATTTTGTAAAGTCCCGCTTTGAAGCAATTAAGCCATCCCCATCTTAGTTTTTGGACTGTGCTGGTATTTATATAGTGCTTTTAATTTTTCTAGTCTTACTGATGTCTCAGAGTACTTTACCAGCAGTGACTACAAGTCATATTTTGAAGTAAGAAGTGACCACATTTACTAGCGGTTTAACTACAACCACTAGCAAGAATGGCTAGCTAGAAACATTTATAGACTGCATCAGTGCAATGCAAAGAGTGACACAGGCAAATTAATCTTAAGTAGCACAAAGTAAAATGCTAGAATTTAACCCAGTCTCGTGACAAAATGTAAAATCCATTAACGTTTATAGACACCAGCTGATTTGTTTTTTCCCATGAGAGCTAGCGTAAATTTGAAGCTAATGTACAGAGTGTATCAAAATGAATTATTCAGTTTGGAGAGGCTATGTTTTTTAAAGTAATGGACGTAGAAACTTGCGGTAAATCTTAAAATATTATTAAGGTTTTACATACAAAACAGCGCTTTGCACATCATGTTCTACCTACATTTTGCCCCCCCACCCATAACCTTCATTTAATTTTTAATTTTTAATTTATATTCTAACATCTGTAGGTATTTAGTATATATTCTTATTTAGTGTATTTATATAGAGAAATATAGATTATATATACTGTAAATACTACATATTCTGTTTCTGTATCAATGACACCAAGACAAATTCCCCGTTTCTGTAAAAGCTTTGCAAAAAACTTGATTCTGATTCTGAGCAGGCCATATGTCCATGCAATTGCAAAACTTGTGCCATACTTTTATGAGCATGTCTGGAGTCACTGCAGCCACTGCTGTTGTTAATATTTAACCTACCGTACACCATGTGGAACTAACAAATCTCTAACGCGGTTAAAACCCACTTATTTAGCCTCGCCTTTTCTACCAGTTAACGCTTGCTTGATAGTTAGCTTAACGCTTATTCTTATCTTCGGCTTCTTAATTACTTTTAATTAATTTTTAATTTTTTTTGACTGTTTTATCCTCTACACTTAGCCTTCTTCTATGCTTTTATATGCAATTCTTTTGCCTTCGTGTGTTTTAATGCCATTCAACCTGCTAGCACGTTTTGGTACCTTGCCATAGCCCTCATCCTTCCCTGTAACTTCATCTTACCCTCTTGCATGTGAAGCACTTTGGCACACCACTGGTTTTTAAATGTGCTATATAAAGTTTGTTGTTGTTGTTGTTGTAACAAACTCTTAATAGAGCAGTTAAAATAAATGTCCTAAAATACCCATTGGCACCACCAATCCCTAAGTCTCCAAATGTGGACGTTTTCTCCACTTAAACAAGAGAAATGATTTTGTGTACCTGGAAAAAAATCCTTACATATAAGATCGTTTGGAGTAAATGAAAACACAACACAAAATACATGAATGAAGTTGGTATCAGACATACACAAACTCATGTTTGAAAAACAGAAGGTAGAAATTTAACACATCAAGACCTCCCCTCTAATATAAATACACATAGAATGAATAAGTATGTGAACATAGAAATGGGATATTTGTGTACAGGAAAGACACGATTATTCTCACATTACTGCTGTGAGAATATTTTGCCACACTGGTGAAAAGTATACTTTACTAGATTTTCACTTGTCAAACCTGGAGCACAGACCTTTTGTGGGTTTTTTTTTAATACAAGTAAGCACAAAGAAAGCCACATCATTAGATAAGCTCAAAATACTCCAAAAAGCACAAATACAGTCAAGAGGTCATGGTTCAGTCCAGCCCAGTGAAATTAGTTGAGATCAAGTCAGTGCCCAAGGTGCACAGTCGGGTGTTTCAACATGGATAATCATGCATAAACTTGATTCTGTCAACCTTGGAGGATTCATTGTTGATTCAAATGATTGTTTGCAGGTTATATCAAAATTTAGACTCAACTTTACCTTTCACTTAGGCTAAACTCTTATTTGTCATTATATTTTTAGGTACCAGGCGTCCTGGCCAGCGCCCTCCTTCCACCAGCATGTCTCCCCTTGTCACTACCACCCCTCAGGCTGTCTCTGAGCTCCCAGTATCTTCAGGTGGATTAGGTGCCAGTGAATATGCTGTGACCTACCGCAGGGGAACAGGGCTAGTAAGCGGTGGTGCAGGCGTACAGGGTACCTACACAGCTCTTGATCCAGAAGGTTTAGGATTAGCAGGCAATGATACTGTCCAGTCCAGATCTCCAGGAATATCCACTAAAGCTGGTCGGAGAGCAGCCATGCACATCACAGGACCCACCATGGTTACTGTGCCACTACATATCACCTCTAACCTGGCTTTAGGGGTTCTTCAAGGGGGCGGGGCTGACAGGATCATACACCGTAGAGACAAAAACGGGGGTGACAAGGCGGGAGCAGAAAAGGCAGCGAAGAAGGTAAGCAGAGTAATGGAATGGAATGTGGAAGAAACCAAGAAGGAGGAGGAGGAAGTGAAAAGTGAAAAGGAGAAAAGCAGTGAAGAAGACGTGGAGACGACAGAGGATTCGGTGGCAGCAGGTGGTGCTGAGGAGAAAACGGAAGAAGGAGCAGAAGAGAAAGGAGATGAACCTGAGAGACAACGAGACAAAAGCCTCCTGTCCAACTCAGAAGAAGATAACAAAGGTGATGCCAAAAATGCTGAACAAAATGTTGAAGATGATGAATATATGGGTAATTTGAACTTTTTTATTACAATGACCACTTTTCCTTACAACGACTGCAAATAATAACTGTTTTGCACATCAGTTATTGATTTTCTGGTTCAAACTTAAATGTCTTAGCTGCTACTACAAAGATTGCTTTAAAATTTGGTACAAATAGTCAAGAGCTCCGGTGCACCTATTGAGGAAACACTCCCAGGGGGACTAGCGACTTTTCTCTTTGTTGACTTTTTCTAATGTAACCCTGAGTTCTAATGTGGTTTTATATAAGATTCCACAAACAGTTCTGCTAAGTTTCATAAACGGGTCAAACGTTTGACCTTCGACTTTTCCGGTGGTGCCCTTTAGCAGGAATACCAAATACCTGCCAATCTGACTTCTGTATGTGTTTTGTGCAAATTACCACATTAGGGTATTCTGAAGGATTAAATCCATTCAGCTGCTCTAAGTCTTTTTTGCCCCAACCTTTGACTATAGCCTTTTAAAATACTTGAACATTTTTGTTTTTATTTATTTTCTCCAAGCACATTTTGAGAATCAGTCAAAAAATAAGCCCAATAATCTTACGCTTGTATTTTCCCCAAATATTTGTTTTTTCTCTTTGTTTTTCTGCAGCTGTCTTAGAATTAAACTATTGCAAGTACAGTGCAACAAATGAATTTTACTCGGTTGTGAAACTCATTAACTCATGATCGTTGTTTCATTGACAGAAATGAAAGTTAGTGAGACGCCTGAGCTTCAGCCAGAGGACACTCAGCATGAAGATAATGGAGAGTTCGATGCTTCTGATGTTCTCAACTCAACAGAGGTGGCAGGCGACAACCAGAATATGTTTGGCTACATTCAAGACAACTTTGAATTCCTGGACCAAATGGACTGCAGTGGAATGGACCATATGGACTGCAGTGTCTCTTATCAGGTGTGTTTTTTATGGTTGCAAATCTTTCTTAGCACATAAGAAGTTGGAGGTTTGCAGAAGAAAATGGTTATTTGCACAGGAGCAGTATTACGCTGTATTTGTGAAAGCTTTTTAATGTGGTTCCTCTTTTTTCCAATTAGGTGCAGGAGTTCTCTGTTGAACCTCCTTGCCACTCAGACGATGAGTATGAAACAATGGCTCAAGCTCAGACTTCTCCTTGTCCTCCAGAGCCACAGTCACGCCTGCGTCCAGGCCCTCAAAGTCCCAGCGAGTCAAACCCACACAGACCGCTCAGTCTCGACTTGCACAGTCGACACACAAAATCCCTCAGCCTGCCTTACATGACCTCGCCTGTCCACGGACAGGATGAGTCTTCATCTGAAGACGAGGCTATGGGGGACATCATATGTGATAACGAATACAGTAGCGAGGAAGACGAGAGCATGTTCGTTAAAAGCCTTCCAACGGATTTCTTTTTGAACACAATCTCTGGGTTGGAACCAGAAACTGATGGACAAGAAAGTTCCCTTCGTGATAGCGTTTCTGTGCATTACATAGAGAGCTCTGAAGAAAGAGACTGCCAGTCACTGAAAACTGAACATTCGGCATGTAAAGAAACAACTACGGGAGAGCGGGAGCAGGTAGAAGTGAACGACAGAGAAGATAAAAATGGACTGGATGAAAAGGAGATGACAGAAAAACAAGAGGAAACTAAAGTTCATCAGGAAGGAGACCAGCTGGAAAACGACATGCAAAGGTGACAACTGATTACAATCTCAGATTTTAGTATTTATCATTATAGCTACCATGCATGTGCATTTTTGTCTTAATCTTTCCTGACTGGCAGACAGAAAAAGCACAATAACAACTATTTTATCTATTATTTTACACTAACAGTGAGTCAGATAACCACAACAGTGTGTGTGATTGTAGCTTAAATGATTGATGTTTAATTAGAATGTGACCAGGTTCTGCACTTCCTGTCTGACATATGATGTTTGAGCATCTTTCAGTTCGTTATTTTGGTTTTAAACTCGCCTTATTGTTTTCGTCTTTCTCTGCAACTGGGTCCAGCAGCAGCAGCAGCAGCTATTTTCAGAAACAAACAACCTAATAATCTGAATATACCCAGACAACAGTCAGCCGGTGAAACCTTTAGACTGTAATGACCCAGATATTTCCCTCAGGAGTTTGAGAAGGCCAAACAGAAATAGAATGGAGAGTGAACAGGCTATTTGACCTTACTTATGAGAAACGTTATTCCACATGAATGACAAAGATGTAAATAGTGCCAGCATGCTTAACATATAAACTTTCAAAGGTTTACATGTCAGTTATGTTTTTGTGGCTGATTTTGGAGAAGAAACCCAACTGCACGCTTTTCAAAAGACACTATAATCACTTCGCTCTTGTTTTGCTGTGGTGTTTTGTTTTCCAGTATCCTGTAGTTAAGTTGTGTGGTCACAGTGGCCACTACTTGGATGATTTGAAGGCTAATGCCTGAAACCTGTGTGCACCCCCTGGTGGAAAAAGATTAAAAGTACAGTGTGGCAGATAGCACCACATGTCCTTCCCGTCCCTCCATTAGAAAATCATAACAAACTGAGGGGAATTCTCTTTTGATACATTAAACTTTGTGTCATCAGCTTGAGAAATGCTACAAGAATAAACTGCTACAAGTTTAATTAAACCAGGAAGAAATATTAAATAAGAAGCTCAAAATTAGAGCTCAAAGAATTCTATAAACAAACGTTAATATGTCTTAAAGTCTCACTTATGTTGTACGTGTCTAAACTGTTTTTGTCTCTTAACTATCTGCAGCAGAGAAACAGAGGAACATCTGGATGTTATGAAAGATGCTGAAAGTGAAATATCCTCAACAACCTGCTGTACAGAGTTTCCACTGCCAGTCACCGAGGACACTGATGAATCCAGCACTGTGGCTGGCATGAGCGTTGAGGAGGTGAAGGAAGTAGTTGAAATTGCTCACAGCGATTGTCCATCTCAGGAAATGATGAACCAGAAAGAAACTGAATCAACAAATCATACCAGAAGCTGTAATGGAGGGGGTACAACAGAGAGAGACAATAAGGAGGGGGAGAATGGTGTGATATGCAATGAAATGGAGGACATGTGTGAACAGTTTGTACTGAAAATAGAGGAAAGTGACGAGAAAATGAGGGAAGAAACCTCAGAGGGAAAAGCTGACAGAGAACACGACAGTAGCAATGAGCAGGATACCCAAATCTGTGGGACACACAATGACATTTGGGAAGAACTTGAGGACATTGTATCTGAAGTGATAGAAGATGAGGAAAAGGCGCAGTCTGAGAGGGAGGGTGATGTTGGGCAAGAACATTTGGTAAAAGATGAACAGGACGAAGAGCAAGGATCAAAGGAAATGGTGGAAGACGACAAAGAGGAGGTGAAGAAGACGGAAGGTATGATAGAAGTAGACGGTGAACCAGTGGAGACGGCTGAAGGAGCGCTAACAAGTTTAGAAATGCAACAAGAGTTTAACGAAGATGAGACCCAGAGAGAAACTCACGAGAAGATGGCCAGCAAGGAAGACTCTCAGGAACATGTCACAGCAGAAGAGTTTTCAGATCAGCCAGAGAATGAGAGCGATGGTGAACAGACAGCCGATGAGCAACTTGAAACTGCGCCAAGTGAAGATAACCAATTTAAAGAGGTGGGCTCTGATATGACAGAGGGAAGAGAGAGTGAGAAGAGTGACGGCCCCTTAGAGGGTGTCGGAAGCACGCTGGTCTCCTCACAGCCGAAGATCTACCAAGTTAAAGCCGTGCCGGTGGTGCCTCCGAAGCCGCAGCACTGCAGAATCACCGCCCTGACCATCCGACAGCAGCAGCAGCAAAGAGAGAGAAGAGACGGCGACAGAGGGAGAGACAACACGCTGAGAGCCCCAGGAGAGCAGGACAAGGACGGAGACCAGAGCGACGAGGGCTCTGAGAAAAAAGAGAGTCCAAAGCTCAGGGGAGATAGCCGGGAGAGAGAGGGGAGGAGGGACAGGGCCGAAGTCAGAAACAGTCCCCTCAGCATGTGCTTTGATGAGGCTGTGGCCATTGCAACCATGAGGAGAGAGAAAGAGAGGGTGAGAGAAGGAGAGGCGGAGGCAGACGCGCTGGGGAAGTGACGTAGAGATTTGAATTGTACAAACTAGTTTTCCGCACACAAAGTTAAAGGCTGTATTTTCTTATATAGAGAGGTGAATTTATTCCATTATACATTACAGCAACAGCAGCCCTGCTTATGTAAGGCAATTGATTTAGCCGTTTCGGTGTTTCTTTGTAGAATGCATAAACCAATAGTTTTCTAATATAAATATTGTTCAAGGGAAGTTTTGTTCTCCGTTCATTTACCAGAACAGAATAGACCGCGGAGATGATATAGAGGGAATCAGATGCGGGGGTTGGATTTACACGGTCAGCATCTTGAATCCTGATATTAAGAGGAATAAACTGAAACAGATGACAAACACTGAAGTGCCGAAGTGCTGCTCCAGTGTGACAAACCATCTGGACGAACTGCTAGTTTCAAGAGTCTGGGTTGTTAATCTAAAAGTAAAAAATATTTGCATTGAATACACTCCCTGTTACACTCGGTGTTTGCACGAGTAACGAGTTTTCTCTCTCGTTACAGAAAGGTGTACATAAAAATAGAGGTTTGATGCCAAATACAAATGTGTTTAAAAAGATGCATAGACTATATCATTTAGCAGGAATATGATGTCAACAGATCCAAAGTTGTTTTGCATTGTGTGAATAAAACATGTTTTCAATATGCTGTGTCTTCTTCAATCCTTCTTTATTTAAACTTTATCAGAGCAAACAAAGTGTGTTGGTGCTGAAGCTGAAGTTACAAATAGCTTTTATTGTTACGTTATAAAAATGCTGCTGGTATTTGCTTACATCTTCAGGATGTTAACTGACAGATAAGCTGAAGGTAAATACAAAAAAATCATTAAAATAACTTCTTCAAGCTTCAAAAAACACTCGAAAAATAACTCGACTTCCTTTTCGTTGATTACACCGTCTAACTAACATATATCACACATCACTACCATCTTGTTAACCTTCATTTCACTCTTGCTGCTATCCGTGTGTCACACATTTTCTTTAAAAGTTACTTTTTTCTTTACAAATCACCCCCAACGCTCCTCTTCACCTCTCTTGTGCACTGCTCATTGCTTTTGATGGTTGACCCCTTGCATTTATACTCATCCACCTTGCACTACCTTTGCTCCTTACATATTCACCTTTTTCTACGTGCCTCCCTCTCACTCACACACGTCTTCTGTTTTGCTTCTGTAACCTGAAGCTGACGGTCTTTAAAACAAAAGAACTCATAATAGACTTCATTAGGCACTCACATCTCCGTAGATCTTATCTGGACCCACAGCACCATCGCCTTGATAAAGAAGGTCCAGCAGCGGCTGCACTAACTCCGCGTCGTAAGGAAGAATAACCTGAACCAGAAGCTCCTGCTAGCCTTCTACTGGTCCTCAGTGGAGAGCGTGGACTCCAACTATCTGGGTGTTTGGTACGCAGTGGCCACAACTGACAACAGGAAGGATGAGCAGAGGGTAATTAACACCACCCAAAAAAAAACCAAAAAACAAAACACTGGCTGCCCTCTGCCTCTCCTGGAGGCCATGGCCAGATGCTCCTGTCTCAGGAGAACCAGGGCAATCACAGGTGACCCCTTGAATCCCACTCACTACCTTTTTGACCCACTGCTCTCTGGTCGACACCTCCAGACACAAACAGCTTCTTCCCGGGGCCATTCGGACTGCAAACAAACACTGTCCTCACACACCCCACCCCTGCCCACCAACCTCACCACCTGAGCCATAATGATTAGAAATGATTATAAATCTCTCTCTCTCTCATATATATATATATATATATATATATATATA